AAAAAAAAAAAAAATCTAGAAGTCTTTTGGGCTGGGGATTTAGCTCAGTGGCACTGTGCCTGACTCACAAGTGCAAGGTCCTGAGCTCGACCCCTGGCACCAAAACAAAGCAAAAACAACAACAACAATAACAAATAAACAAAGACAGCTGGGCATGGTGGTGCATGCCTATAATTCCAGCACTCAGGAGGCTAAGGCAGGCGGATCATTGTGAGTTCGAGACCAGCCTGGGCTACATAGTGAGTTCCAGGTCAGTCTTGACTACCTAGTGAGACCCTGTCTCAAAAAAAAAAAAAAACAAAAAACAAAGCCCAAGGCAAAATTCACCTGCTAAGGAGCCATGGAGCCAAGCGTGGTGGCACAGCCTATAATCCAGGGGGCTCATCTCGAGTTCGAGGCCAGCCTGGTGGTTGAGGTGTTCCCACTTAAGGCTCCCATCAGCTGCAGTGAAGATGGTGGCTGGAGCTTCGGTCACCCCAAGGCCAGCCCAGGGACGGATCTGCCTTCAAGCTTACCCCTGTGGCTGACATGGAACTCAGGTCCTTCTGACTGCTGCTGCCAGATATTGTGGGAGCTGCTCCTAGCTGGCACCAAGTCCCAGTACTTCCCACCTGACCAGGGGAGCCTGCAGCCCTTCAGATGCCAGAGCCTGGGCTGTGGGAAGGGAGGAAGGCTGGCACACCCACACAGCATTGGAGACAGAAGGGCAGGAGAAAGCGGTGAGGCAGACAGGGAGTTCAGTTTTAGAAATGTTCCATGCCTTGTGGGGTGGTACATGCCTCTAATCTCAGTTTTTAGGAGGCTGAGGCAGGAGGATCCCCAAGAGTTGGAAGCCAGCCTGTGCTACACAGTGAGTTCAAGGCCAGCCTGAACTACATAGAGAATCTCTGCCTCAAAAGCCAAAACAACAACAACAACAACAACAAGAACAACAACAACAACAACAAAAAGATAGGATCAGTGGATGAAAACTCCCAGACAGAGAGGGCCAGGTGACCAAGCTCCTGGCTGTTTTAGCTTGGGCCCTAAAGGAAGAGGAGCCTTTGTACCAACAACAACAACAACAACAACAACAACAACAACAACAAAAAGATAGGATCAGTGGATGAAAACTCACAGACAGAGAGGGCCAGGTGACCAAGCTCCTGGCTGTTTTAGCTTGGGCCCTAAAGGAAGAGGAGCCTTTGTTTCCTTGCCCGGAGATCAGCTCAGAGATTAGAACTGCTGCAGGGGGGCGCTCAGCATTCCTGGAGAGGCAGGTGCAGAGCTGCTGGCCTGTGATGCTGCATTCGAGCCCTGTGCTGTCCGGATCCCCCTAACACTGCTCTCAGCCTGGCCAGGCCACCTTGGCCCCGACAAGCAGCTGGCCAGTTCTGAGCTGAGAACCAAGCCTCCACAGCCGTTTTCACAGAGGCGGCTGCCTGGAAAGACCAGGGCGACACAGGACACAGGACACCAGGCAGCTGCACTGGAAGCCAGGGAGTAGGGCCAGGGCCCCCCCTGGGGGCGTCTGTGGGTGGGGACGGCCCCTTAGGAACTTGGCCCCTGGAAGTCAGGTGTGGGACCCCACAGAGCGTCCTGGCCGTCTTTCCTGGACCTTCAGAAGGCAGTGCACATCCAAGTTCTACCAGCTGACTTTGTGCGTGAGCAGGGCTGAGCTGGGGGGTTCACTGGATTCACTGCGGGGTGGGGGCATGCTGTCCCCATTGCCTGAATGTGGGGCCCTAAAGTTTTTTTTCTTACTGAGCTGGAGCTCACACTCAGGGCCTTGTGCATGCTCTACAAGCCCTCTACCACTGAGCTACACCCTGGTCTTGGCCCCAAATGTGGAACCCAGTGACTCTTGGGAGAACACAGCCCACTCTCCCCTCAGCATGCCTGAATCACTGGCTTGGAAAAGGCTGGGTGGAGTCACAGGAACTCTCTGGGCCTTGGCCACCCCAACCAGAAGCTGAGAGGTAACGAGAGTCTCCCACCAGGTCCCTGTAACCTTGTGGGTTGGGGGTTTGAAAGCTCCTTTCAGGGTGACATCAGGAATTGCAGGTTTTGTTTTTTGTGGGTCGGTTGGTGGGTTGGGTTTTTTTAGACAAGGCCTTCCAGTACAGTCCAGGTTGGCCTTCAACTCACTATGTAGCCCAGGCAGGCTTCAAACTTTCGGGGCTCCTCCTGCTCAGGGATTGCAGGTGTGCGCCACCCAGCTTGGGCACAGGAACTGCAGGTTTCAAGTGGGACAGAGGGCTCACCTGCACCAGGGGTACAAGGGAGCCAAGGGAGAGTTCACTGGCTGACATTTTAGGCTCTGCAAACAGTAACCTCGGGGAGATTGCTCTAATGGTGGTGGCAGGGGAAGGGAAGTTTGGCAGGATTAACACAGTGGCACACACCCTCCAGGTTCTAGTCCCAGGAAGGAAAAAAGTGCCCACTTTGGGAAGTAATTTCTGTGCCCGAGTGCCGAGGTGTGACAGACACCAGGGCATCAAAACCTCCAAAGGAAAGGAGCCCCAGACACCCAACTGGGCCAGGCCTTGAGGCCACACCTCACCCCACCATTAAGGCACCTTTGGGACCTTCAAAAAAACACAAGGTTTTGCGATCTGTGTTTCACTTTTGTTTTGTTTTGTTTTTTTTCCTCAAGATGAAGGATTGTTTTGATTGCACAGAGACAAATCTACTTCCAAAGAGAGTGCTGTATTGTTGATTTTATTTCATTGTGGAAAGTATTTGCTCACAGGTGAGAAGCTATTTTGTAGAAAAGAATCAAGTATATAAAATCACAATAAGTTAATAAATAGAAGTCAAAGAAGACCATGAGGCTGGGTACAGAGCCCTTGAGGAATCAGAAGTAGATGCCCATGGCCAAGGTTTCCTCCTAAGGCCGCCTCTGCACTGTGGGGAGAAGAGATAGGGTGATGATGGCCTTAGCGGAGAAACTGAGGCAGGACCTGAGCTTCCCTGCACCCTAACACACTCCCTTCCCCACCCAGAGTCCTCAGCTGGTCTTTACATTTGAGGCTCTTGGAATATCCCATCTCTCAGGGACACCGCGCGGTTACCCTGAGGACCCTGCCCTGGCAGCCTGCGGGGAGCCAGGAGGAACAGTACTTAGGGCTGTCCCTGCTCCACCCTTCCAAGTGTCTGCCCCTTTGTGTCAAGGCAGGGCATGGAGGGAAGGCCCGAGAGGACTCTGGTCCTGGAAGGAACGATGCCCACTCCCTGAGGTGACTCTGTTGGGGGCAGGTGGACAGGCGGGGCGATGGGGGGGCTTTTACCTCTGCAGTCCACGTCACTGACAGAACCAATCCGGTCGATCCTTTTCCCAAAGCAACCTGAGCCTCGCATCACCCTGGGTGTCTGGAGGCCCCTAAAAGCCCGGAGGCTGCTCTTGGCGGTGTCTCCGTCCTGTAGGAGCTGGCCTGGGATCTTCTGCTCTGCTTGTGTCTCTGAGACCTTGTCCCCAGGAGGATGCAGCAGCTCCTGAGCGGGGTGCAGAAGCCCTGGGCTCAACCACCCTTGCTGGTACTCAGAAGGGGTCCAAATCTTGCTGCTTTCTAATTAGGCTGTCGTGACTTCCCAAGGCGATGGGGGTCCTCCCGGGATGGGAAGCAGGAACCCTGTAACTGCCCCTGCCCAAGCCCTCCCGCAGGCCGGGTTCACGCAGTCCCTGCAGTGCTCACCTGTGTCCCCAGTTGATCCGAAGCCTGGTCCTGGTCGGGCCCAACAAGGGGGTGAGATAGACCTCCCGCCAGTAACAAGTGCAGGAAAAACAGGAGCAGAATTGTCCAGGGCAGGGCTGTCTGGGGACCCATAATGCAGGGAGGACGGGCTGGGGCTGAAGCTGTCCGGTCTGTAAGCTCCTGCTGTTCCGGCTTCTCACTGCCCACTGCTCTCCTGGTTCCTCTGCGACTCGGCCTTTTATCTTGGGCCGTCTTCCGCCTGCCCTTCCCCTCGGTGGGGGTTTATCTCTGATTTATCAGCCACATTCCTGCCCGCTGAGCTCAAGGCCTGAGAATGCACTGCTTCACTGCCGCCCGCCTAGAGGAATCCTCATAGGGGCGGCAGAATATTCACGGGGATGGCAGCTGGGGAGAGCAGACCTTGTATAGAAATGGGTCAGGCCGGGGATGGAGGTTGTCGGGGACACCAACACATCCCTGTCTCTGGCCTTGTCTTTTCCTTAAGAAAAAAACAAGAACCAAAAAACCCAAAGATCCTAACGCGGCACTTTCCCTTTCCCGCCCCGTTCTGAGCACTGCTGGAAATATCAAGGCCAACTCCAGGGGAGGGGTTGTGTGTGCGCGCACGGGCTGTCTCGGCGCAGCAGCCCCAGCCAACACCCGCAGAGCGCATCTTGCTCCCTGCGAAAGCCCCCGTCCCCGTGCACCCCAAAGGACCGCGCGCACCCGGACTGCTGTCCGTGGTGCTGATCCCCCCAAGCGAACCTGCGCAAGGTCTGCGCCCCCAGGAGCTCTCCAGGCCAGAAGAATCTGCCTGGGCCAGGGTGCGAGACACCTCTGAGACTCCCCTCCCAATCTCACACGCCCCAACCCCATGAGTCTTTTGACACTGGGACGCTCATTCTCCAATATCAACTGATTAAAGCCTGGGTATGACAAGGAACTTCTGGAATGCCAGCCTCCCTTCCACTCCTTAAAGGGTAGCACTGATCGGTCTGGAATTTTGAGAGCATGGTCCGGGGTGGAAGTCATGCAGGAATGTTTTCTATGGCATCTTCTGCAGGTGCCATCATCCTCTGCTCCCCACTAAGCTGACGAACGAGGGGAAAGGGGGGGCTGACTAGAGAGGAGGTGGTTGTCGATTTGGTGGGACACGGGGGGGGGAATAAGAAGTGGTCACCCGTGGAGCACTTCCTCCCAGCTAATGGCCCGAGCCTTCTGCCTGTGATTAGCAATGGGACGTGGTCCAAGTCTGGGAGAAAGGGTCCAAGTAGCTTAAATGCAGCCTCAAAGTGTGTGTGACTGATATCACCACCCCTTCAGAGAACTTGTGTGGGCAAGCGACAGGGGAAGGGGCTGTCCAGGAGAGGAGATGAGTTGTGCTAGAGACGGGCATAGAGGAAGCAAGAAGCAGATGGGATCTCTAAGCAAATTCCACCCTCAATAGCATCTTGCCAGACCCTGGATGAGAAAGGGACCCTTCTTACTCCTCATTTCTCAGACAGAGAAACTGGGCTCAGCTAGATGAATAAACTTTCTAAAACTCACAGTTAGCAGAGGGGTAAACCTCAGATTCCAGGCATCTGATTCCAGAGCAGGAGCTCTTTATCGCTTCTGGGATGATCACAGACTGTTTCTACCAGAAGAAAAGTTAGGGGCCGAGGGTTTAGCTCGGTAGTTCTGCTGCCTGCCTCACAAGCACAAGGTCCTGAGTTTGATCCCCAGAATCCCTCCAAAAAAAGAAAAGTTAGAGAAAGCCACTGTCATCTACAGAGGCTTAAGGAACTGTGTTGTGTGTTTTAGGGATAAATCTTGCAACCGTTGTGCAGGGAAGGATGGAAAGTATGCTAAGGTGAGTGTTTGCACATGAATTTGGGGGACTGGTAAGGGCTGTGTGAAGATGCCAGTCTTGGGAAGGTTTGAGGCCTGGGCCTCTGTGTGTGTGGGTGTCCGTGTGTATGGACAAGCACATCTGAAAAAGATGCCCCAAAGACTAAGTGAAAACGAGAAGGGTTGAAATAGGGTCTAGTTCAGGCTGATGATCCTCCTGCCTCATCGTCTTGAATGTTGGAATTATAGGCATGTGCTGTTGTGAAAAAAGGAAAAGAACCAGAGTTCCAAGCACCATGGGACGGTTTTATTTCCGAATAAATCTGTGAGGGGCCACTCTGGCACTACAGACCAGACTAGCTAGCTCTCATACAGGGTATAAGATCTTTATAGGGTCGTGGGGATAAAAAAGGGGAGCGGTGGAAGGAAAAGGTCACCGTGGGACTTTCTATGGGAGAGTTCAGTACAGAGGAGCTGCGGCCGTGTGCCGGGACAGGGCTTGAGAACCTCCAAGCAGTTGCGTGTTGTTTGTCAAGAGCAGACCTGAAAAATGACCGGAAACTCGAGGGTGTGGCTGTGCTCACTGGGCCTTACTGACCCATGCTGAAACATCTGCAGTAGGTGCAAAAACACAGCAGAGGGAGGAAAATCAAAGTGGGCTGCGCTCAGAGGAGGATGGCGGTGGTCGGATAGGAAAACGGGCAGCTCATCTCTTCCTTAACTACTTCTTCCTGATTAGGACCCTATTGACCTGGTCTTGGGCCACACAGTCCTGCTGGTGAGAAATCTTTGAAACAGATGGATTAGGCATGGCTATAATAAGCAGGGAAGGAGAAAGAGGAGAAGATACACTACACAAAAGAAGAACCCAGGGGCCCGGGCTTTAGCGCAGTGGTTCCACCATCTGCCTCACAAGCGCAAGGACCCGAGTTCGATCCCCAGTACCAAACAAACAAACAAAAGAACCCAACATAGGATAGCGGACTTCCGCAAATCCCGTGAGCTCTGTCAGGGTCCCGAGACATTTGTTGTGCTGCCTGGAGCTCTGTGTTTATCCCCACCGCCGCAGAGCGGCAGTTACATTGTCATGATTATCTGGAGTAAAAAGCACAGTGAGTTGTGAGAAGCATGGTACAAGGCGTCCACTTGGGCAGACTTTGTGTGGGGGCGATGGCTCCTGGGCCGCTTTTATCATTGATTCCATTTGCAGGGTTACTAGGAATTCGGCAGTCTCTTAGTGAGAGTGAACAAACGGCACCAGAAGATTAAAGCACGTCTGGCCAAAGCCTGAGCCCCAGAATGAGAAGGAAGACTGCGGGAGGGGTCACATCTGGGCATTGTTCTCAAGGGACTGGAATAGCAACCCTAACCAGCTGGTTTCTGTCATCCAGGGTCAGGGATTGGAGCCCCTCTTTTACGTTGACCCTGTATTACTTTTTTTTTTTGGTTTTTTGAGACAGGGTCTCACTATGTAGTTCAGAATGCTCTGGAACTCACTGTGTAGCCCAGGCTGGTCTCGAACTCACAATGATCCTCCTACCTCAGCCTCCTGAGTGCTGGGATGACAGGGGTGTGCCACCACGCCCAGCTGACCCTGTATGACTATGATTTTGGTATGGTTTTGGTTAGACTTTTTGCTGGGTTCAAGACCAAGTTAAAGTGAGACCTGTGTTAACCAAAATTACCCTCTTGTTACCTTTCAAGGTCAACCAAGGCTCCTCAGGCCACGCTTTTGGAACCATGTGTAGTGTCTCTCCGCTCTTCAGTGCCAGCTGCCAGGGTGGGGCATGGTCTGGCCTGATCACGTGACTTCACCCGGGAAGCACGGCTGGTGACCCTCCTTTTACACACTGGACGTTGCTTGACTATTGTCCTCTGGGGTCCAATAATCTCCCTGTTCTCAAGCTTGGGGGACTCACCAAAGTTGTACCATCCTGCACACCACCAGGTCCTATTGACCTTGGAGATCCGGGGCCAAAATACTGGCTGTCCTTTTAGCCCAGCTACCTTTCTAGCTTTGGTCTCCAAACCTGAGTCATTGAGGGCCCAGGAGATCAGATATCATATCCAGATATCAAGCACCTTGAAATACACAGTATGACCGGGGCATTGTTATTTCCTTAGCAACCGTGGTTGTCTTAGAAGTCAAGTCCCTGCAGAAGGTTAACAGATAACAATGATAAAGCGTTTGTAAATGGGGAGGGGAGGAGGGGGCGAAGGGAGGGCAGGGACAAGGGGAAAAAATGAGAAACAAGACCTGTCATGTAGAGGTACAAGATCACAAAAATGAATGTAGCTGTACTGTATCCCTAAAATGTACCAATAAACTCAATAAAAAAATGATAACGCTTCACAGAAAACCTGAGATTGCATTTCAGCGTAACAATCATGATGACATCACTAAATGGCACCAAGAAACTTATGCTTGAATTTGTCATCTTTCAATAGAGCGACATCTAGCCAGGCATGGTGGTGCATGCCTGTCATCCCAGCACTCGGGAGGCTGAGGCAGGAGGATCGCTGTGAGTTCGAGACCAGCCTGGGCTACACAGTGAGTTCCAGGGCAGTCTCAACTATACATAGTGAGACCCTGTCTCAAAAACACAAAAAACAAGAACAAAAAGGAAAAAGGTACATTTATCAATTTTCACTTCCCTAGACCTAAAATTTTTATTTTCCTTTTCCAGCTGGTCTCCATGCCTGAGTTTTCAAATGTAGAAGTGAATTTGTTTGTTTAGACTCAAATGGGATTTCAGAAGCGTTTTCAGAAGAAGTGAAAACGAGGCTTTAACGAGTTTGGGTTTCCTGAGAAACCTACATGAACAGCTTTCCCTGGAAATCTAAGAACCAAAAATGAAAAAGAAAGTTTGAGCTCAAACAAAGCAGGCCCTTGAACCTTTGTGAAAAATACTGATGGCGGTTTCTTTTTTCCCCGATTAATCTGTCCCAGTCTGGCATCATTTACCGCCTTGACTTTTGCTGTCTTTAGCCCTTCCTCTTTTACAAAATAGACTGAATGAGCAATGTAGCAATGTAATTTGGACTTTTTTTTTTTGGTACCAGGGATCGAACTCGGGTCCTTGCACTTGCAAGGCAGGTGGCAGAACCACTGAGCTAAATCCCCGGCCCAGCATTATAATTTGGAACTCCCTTGTAGGGCCTTATCTCCTGGGTAGGCAGAGTAATTTTGGGCAAGAGTTGGGGAGATGCAAGCAGAGAGCAAAGAAAGCTTGGGCGGAAGGGGCCTCCTGCCACTTGCCCTTCCTCTGCAGGTAATTATCAAGGTCAAGAAGAATCTGGAAATTAAACACACCAAATTGAGGCCATTGGCTGCCATGGTCTAGCTCGTACCTGGGCCAAGCTGTGAAAGAATAAAATATGAGACATTTGGGCTAAAAATCCCCTTTTAGCCGGGTGTGGTGGCACACCCCTGTAATCCAGCACTCGGGAGGCTGAGGCAGGAGGATCACTGTGAGTTGGAGACCAACCTGGGCTACATAGTGAGTTCCAGGTCAGTCTCAACTACATAGTGAGACCGTGTCTCAAAAAACAAAACAAAACAAAACAAAACAAAATTCCCTTTTAAACTGAGGGGGGAAAGATTTTTTTAGAAGACACCCCAAAGGGATATCTGCTAGAATTTTACAAATTTGGGAGCCCATAGTAACTGATAA